AATAAATAATATTAATATTAGTAATACTAAATAATAAATATTTTTATTTGTATATTAATAGTGTTGTGAAAAATTTTTAATATAAAATAATGAAAATTCAAATTATAAATAATGCATGTATTATATTTTAAATTCAAATAAAAATTATTAAAATATTAATTACTAAAATATTAATATTAAAATTATATTAAATGCTAAGATCAATATTATACATTATGTTAATAAAACAGGGAAGAAAAACTATTAAAAGAGTTTTATCAAAGTGAATTATTACTTACTGAAAATTGTTTGAAACAAAATCCTAAATCTTATTGGGTATGGTATCAACGAATATGGATTATGAACCATTTAGTGGAATGTGATTGGAAAAAAGAATTAATACTATGCAATAAATGTTTAAATTTGGATGACAGAAATTGTAAATTATTAAATATTGTTATTAAATATTTTAATTTTATTATTCATAATATAATAAAATATAATTTTTTTATAGTTCATTGTTGGAATTATAGAGAGTTTATTGTACAGAAAGCAGGAATTTCTCCTGAAGAAGAATTTCAATTTGCAACTTCAAAGATTTTAAATAATTTTTCTAATTATTCTTCTTGGCATTACAGAAGTCAATTATTATCAAAAATATTTCATAATTCCAATCAAAACAGTATTTATGAAAAAAAAAAAGAAGGTAATGTTTTTATAAGATATTAATACTAATTAATACTTGTTATTATTTAATCTATTTTAAGACTATTTTATAATATACAATATCAAAAATGTCTTTTTTTTTTAGAATTAGATCTAGTAATGAATGCTACATTCACAGATCCCAATGATTCTAGTGCTTGGTTTTATCAAAGATGGTTATTAAATACTCATGAATGTTCTCCTATTCTTTCTCAAGCATTGATAAAAGATAACAATGTGACCATTTTTGCTAATAAAAATATATCAATTGAATCAATATGTTTATTAATAAATAATGAAAATAAAATTGTTCAATGGAAATCTTGGCAAGAAACAAAAATGTCAAAATTATGGTTTGGAGAATTCAAAATGCAAATGAATCAAACAAAAAATATTGAAATTAATATTGAAGGAACATCTTATCCTTTATTCTGTATCAATCAGAAATGGATATATAGAAAAAAAAAATATAAATGTTGCTCTAATAAAGACCAATTATTAGAACAATTATCAAGTTATAAACAACTTATAAAAATGGAACCAACTAATAAATGGGCTTATTTAACTAGTATACTTTTAATGAAAAAGATTGATTTTATAAAATTTTATGAAAATATTTTAACAAATTTAAATATTCTTATCGATATTGATTCTCTTCGTTTTAATTATTATAAAGATTTACGTAAATATATTTAATATATTTGTTTATATATAAAAATTTTCTAATATCTATGTAATTAAAAATTATAAATTTTGATATATAAATTTATTTTTATTTATATAATTATTTTAATTATGGATTTTTATATTTTTTTTCTAACATTTCCATATCATCATTGTAGTAATATTTTTAAAAATTAAATAATAAATATTTTTTTTCAGGGAGCCAATTCATAATTAAATATAAAGTATATGAATTATGGAATATAGAAGAAGATCAAGAAATAAATTTAGAAATTGATCTTTCGGGATTAAACTTAACTACACTTAATAATAATGAATATCTTGGTTTCTTTGAACAAGTAAATCTTAGTGCAAACTGTTTATCAAATTTATTAAATCAATTATCTTTATTACAAAATTGTAAAAAATTATCACTTTCAAGTAATCAATTGAAAAATTTAAAAAAATTTCCTATATTACAAAATTTAGAAGTTTTGTCATTAAGGAATAATAAACTAAATAATTTAGAAGAAATACTACAATTATTAAAAAGACATAAATTAAAGTTGCTTGATTTAAGAGAAAATCCAATTTGTAATACCATAGAATTACAAACTAGTATTATACAAATCAATCCAGATTTACAATTATATATAAAATAATTTTTATAAATGCATACATATGCAATTATTTAATTTATTGAATAATTGAATATTGTAGAAATATAAAAAATAAAATTGTAAAATTGTTTATGGAATAAATGAA